CCCCCCAGTCCCGGTATTCTCCCGCCCCCCAGTCCCTTACCTTCCCGGTGCTGTGCTGGTTGCCCGCTGGTGCCGCACTCCCCTCCGGAGCTGAGCTCAGCCAGTCTCCTGCCGGTGGCGGTCAGCTCGGCTCTCAGGCTGCTCACTTCGCGGTTGGCCGCTTGCACAGCCCCATCGATCCTGCCGGCTAGCTGCTTGTTGTCTTCCATGGTGCTCAGGATCTTAGTCTGCGGAGAAGGACATGCTTGGTAAAGGAGGCAGGCAGATACAGGCGTCCCTACTCTCTGTGTGCAACTCAGCCTCCCTCACTCACTCCATCAATACTCTCTACTGGAGAAAAGAGACGCCAGGCCCTTTAAATGGACACTACCACGCTCCACCAGGGATGCCTAAGGACAATCATAACAAAATAAAAATTAATCCCCTTCCTTTCCTCCCTTTGTATCAGTGCACCAGGCTCGGGATCCCAGAATTAAATGAACCAACCCCTTTCCCCTATTGCAACTTTCCTTTGCAGTTTCTGTCTCGATGACCAAGAGAACTCACGCTTCCCCCTCTGTCTGTGTGCAGCCTTCCCTGTGCTGCTGTAATCGCTGGGAACAATGTTCCACACAAGCTGTCCTGCATTATGGGCTTGGCAAATTCATCTGGGGTCTCAGAGTAAAACCGGGCTCTCTCTCTCTGCACACACATCCAGCTGCTCCCTGTCTGTATCTGTCCCCCACCCCGCCCCCGTCCAAAATTCTGTTATTTCAACAGCCTCTCCTCCCCCTCGTCTGGCTGCTGTGTGTCACCAATTACAACAGCACACAGCCCTCACACGCTCCCTGCTGCAGAGGGAACACTAGTCCAGCCTTTTTCAATACCTAGCCGGACCTGACCTGATTAACACGGACTCAGATTCCTTTCTAGGTTGCCTGGCACGTCCAGCGACTCGTCTTTTACTTTGCTTTATTCCCTCCCTCCCCCACAAACGCATCCCCACTCCTCACCCCTGTTTCAGGCTTGAGCAGGGAATGAGGCACTCTGTCGTTTCCCGAACACAAGACTGTACAGAGAGACACTGCTCTGTCCCAGCAATGGCCACACTCCCTGAATACAGCCAGCTCAGGTTCCTCGCTGTGGCTTACACTGAGATCAGACAGTTGGAGTTCCCAGTGGTGGAGTAACCGAGATAGGGAAATGATGGGCCAGAGGCTGAGGGTTTGAGGAAGGCAGAGGTCAGTGAGGGTCAGTGGGTGACAGAGGTTATAGGAGGGTGCAGGGTTGGAGAGAAGTGCATTAGCCCTGCCTCGGATCTGCTCCAGGGGCAATATTTGGGGCTGGACGACGGAATTGGGGTACTGTGTGTTGCTGTGTATCATGGGTACAGGCACAGGGTGGTCAGTGTCTCAACCCATCGACAGCTCCAACACCTTGGCACCATTGTCTAGCTGGGTGTGACTCACTCATCAGTGCAGTTCTGGTCAAACACTGCCAGAAGGACATGGATGCTTTCGAGAGGGTGCAGAGAAGGTTTACCAGAACGTTGCCTGATCTGGAAGGTTATGATATAAGGTTGGATAAACTTGGATTGTTTTCACTGGAAAGACAGAGGCTGAGGGGATAAGCTGATAGAAGTCTACAAAATTGTGAGAGGCATAGATAGGATGGAGGCTTTTTCCCAGGGAGGAGAGGTCAACTACAAGAGGGTGCAGGTTTGAGAGGGGGAAAGCTTTCATACAGGGGTTGGTGGGTGCCTGGAACGCACTGCTAGTGGAGGTAGGCAAGTTAGCAATGGTTAAGTTTCATTCTCTTTCATTCTCTTTTATCTCATCACAGCCAAAGAATTGTCATCAACAGCTTCCCTTCCTGTATCCACACAGTTATCTCGAGTATCTGCTGGGCTCAGTATTTTGCCCTCTGACGTCATAGGTTCAAGTCCCACTTCAGGGCTTGAGCACAAAAGTCAACACTGACACATCCGAGCAGTACCGATGGAGAGCTGCACTGCTGGAGGTACTGTCTGTTAATCAGGCTTTAAACCAATTGCCCAGCTGTCTGTTCAGGTCAATGCAACTGATCCCATGGCCATACTTTGAAGAAGAGCAGGGAAGTGCTCCCGGGTATCCTGGCTAATATTTGTCCTTCAATCAATAGAAAAACAAAAACAAAAATCCGTCAGAGGTTTGGGAGCAGTTTAGAATTCAGCAAAGAAGGACCAAGGGATTGATTAAGAAGAGGAAAATACAGTAAGAAAGTAAGCTTGCAGGGAACATAAAGACTGACACTAAGAGTTTCTATTGGTGTGTGAAGAAAAAGAGATTGGTGAAGACAAATATAGGTTCCCCACAGACAGAAATGGGGGAATGTATAATAGGAGACAAAGAAATGTCTGAGCAACTGAATACATACTTTGGTTCAGTCTCCACAAAAGAGGACACAAATCAGATACCAGAAATGTTGGAGAATACAAGACTTAGTGAGAGGGAAGAATTGAGGGAGATCAATATTAGTAAGAAATGGTACTGGGAAAATTGATAGGATTGAAGTTGGATAAATCCTCAGGACCTAATAATCTACATCCCAGAGTACTTAAGGAAGTGGCTGTAGAAATAGTGAATGCATTAATGGTCATCTTCCAGGATTCTATAAACTCTGGAACAGTCCCTGCAGATTGGAGGGTAGCTATTGTCACTCCAATATTCAAAAAGGTAGGTAGAGAGAAAACAGGGAATTATAGACCAGTAAGCCTAACATCGGTAGTGGGGAAATTCTCGAATCTGTTATCAAGGATTTTTATAGTGAAGCATTTAGAAAGCAGTGGCAGGATCAGACAGTGTCAGCATGGATTTATGAAGGAGAAATCATGCTTAACAAATCTGTTGGAATTCTATGAAGATGTAACCAGTAGAGTTGACAAGGGGGAGCCAGTCGATGTGGTATATTTGGACTTTCAGAAAACGTTTGACAAAGTCCCACATAAGAGATTAATGTGCAAGATTAAAGCACATGGGATTGGGGGAAATGTATTGAGATGGATAGAAAACTGGTTGGCAGAGAGGAAACAAAGAGTAGGAATTAAAATGGGTTTATTTCAAATTGGCAGGCTGTAACTAGTGGGGTGCCACAGGGATTGGTGCTGGGACCCCAGCTATTTACAATATATATTAATCACTTGGATGGGGGAACAAAATGTAACATCTCAAAGTTTGCAGATGATACCAAGTTGGGTGGGAGGGTGAACTGTGACGAGGATGCAGAGATCCTTCAGCATGATCTAGACAAGTTGGGTGAGTGGGCAAATACTGGAGATGCAGTATGACTTGGATAAATATGTGGCTATTCACTTTGGAAGCAGAAACAAGAAGGCAAATTATTACCTGAATGGCTGTAAATTGGGAGGGGGAGTGTGCAGCGGGACCTGGGTGTCCTTGTGCACCAGTTGCTGAAGGTAAGCATGCAGGTGCAGCAGGCAGTAATGAAGGCAAATGGTATGTTGGCCTTCATTGCGAGAGGTTTTAAGTACAGGAGCAGGGATGTGTTGTAGCAGTTATACAGGGCCTTGGTGAGACCACACCTGGAATATTGTGTGCAGTTTTGGTCTCCTGTTCTGAGGAAGGATGCTCTTGCTCCTGAGGGAGTGCAGTAAAAGTTGACCAGGCTGATTCCGGGGATGGCGGGTCTGATGTATGAGGAGAGATTGACTAGGTTGGGATTGTTTTCGCTGGAGTTCAGACGAAGGAAGGGGGGGTCTCATAGAGACTTATAAATTCCTAACAGGGCTAGACAGGGTAGGTGCAGGGAACATGTTCACGATGGTGGGTGTGTCCAGAATCAGGGGTCACAGTCTGAGGATTCGGGGTAGACCATTTAGGACGGAGATGAGGAGACATTTCTTCACCCAAAGAGGGGTGAGCCTGTGGAATTCATTACCACAGGAAGTAGTTGATGCCAAAACACTGAATGTATTCAAGAGGTGACTAGATAGAGCACTTGGGGCGAATGGGATCAAAGGTTACGGGGAGAAAGCAGGATTAGGCTATTGAGTTGGACGATCAGCTGTGATCATGAAGAATGGCAGAACAGGCTTGAAGGGCTGAATGGCCTCCTCCTGCTCCTGTGTTTCTATAATATTACAAAAAAAACTAAATTTAAATCAAGAACTATGGATGCTGGAAATCTGAAATAAAAGCAGAAATTGCTGGAGAAACTCAGCAGATCTGGCAGCATGTGTGGAGAGAGAAAGCAGAGTTAACGCTTTGAATCCATTGACATTTTTCAAAATCGTTGACTCTACTTTCTCTCTCCACACATGCTGCTAGACCTGCTGAGTTTCTCCAGCAATTTCTGCTCTTGCTTCAAAACAGGAGCTTTCTGAGTGTAAATTGGCTGCTGTGTTTCCCACATTGTGTCCGTGACTGCTCTTCATCAAAGTACTCGATGAGTTGTAAAGTGCTTTGAGATGTAAGGTGCCTGTGAAAAATGTTATCTAAGTATCTTTTGGATCAAACCTGGGCGCCATCCTATTTCTCATCTGTCCCACAGTGAGGTCATCCAAACCCACATTTGCTGCCACATGTGTGTTACCAATGCCCAGCTCGATCTTACCACTTCTGAGGAAGAGTCATATTGAACTTGAAACATTAATAGTTTCTCTCTCCACACAGGCTGCCAGACCTGCTGCGTTCCTACGCTTTTCTGAAATTAAACTTTAAACCAACCCTGGTTTCTTAAATTTGATTTGATTTTTTTTTATCACATGTACCTAGGTACAGTGAAAAGTTTTGTTTTGCGTGCAGTACAGTTGATCAAACCATTCAAAGATTATAAGGTGATTGAACCGAGCGAGGAATATAAAGTTACGATTGAACAGAGCGAGGAATACAAAGTTACGACTGCAAAGACAGTGCATTAAAAGCAAGATCAACATTAGCTTTCTGTGAGGATCTGTAACAGAAACAAGTCAAACAGTTAACCATAACTTATAAATGTAGAACAGAAACTTAGTGAATTTAAATTGAAATGTTGTTGCCCGGGATAATGATGCACTCCAGCCCTCGTGGTGCACAATGGTCTCGAAAGGCTTCTACTGGGCCAGTAAGCACCGTGCGTTCCGGGGACACCTGAGTGCAGATGCAACTGGGAAACTGGGGCAGACAGGCAGGTACAGTGACCCCCACCCCCACCCCGACTACCCACTGTCTGGACCTGTTAATGGCCAGTTTGTCCAGGCCCAGGAGCGGAC